CGCCTTCCGGTGATGTCAATTTTGGCCTTAAAATCCTCGTATATAATGTCTTGACCCTCCATATGTCTGTCAAAGCGATGTTTGGACAGGTTCATATTTTCCGCACATACAATTTTGTCTGGTAGGCTATTCCATTGTCTTACTGAGCGTCCGGACAAGCTACACTGTCATTATTCCCACTGGTCATCTTGTATAGTTCTATCATATCGCCTCGGATCCTTCTGTAGCTTAGAGTTGATAGCTTTAATTTCTTTAGTCTTTCAGGGTATGTTAGATTTGACATTCCTGGTAATTGCTTTGTTGCTCTCCTCTGTACTCCCTCAATTAACTCCACATGTTTTATTTTGTACGGTGCCCAAACTGAGCTGACATAGTCTAGGTGTGTTCTTACGAGGGATTTGTATAGTGGTACAAACGTTTCTGAGTCCAGGTGTCTAAAAATTCTCCTAATAATGCCAAACATTGAGTTTGCTTTTTCACTTTCTCTGAAATATGCTTCTCAAAGTTCAATTCTCTGTCCACGATTACTCCAATGTCTTTTTCCTCATTTGCCATTTCTAATATGTTGTCTCCTAGTTTGTAACGGTGTGCATCTTCCCTATTTCCAATGTGCATGTGTTTACACTTTTGTGGATGAAAACGAAGTAGCCACTTTTCGCTCCATTCCTCCAATTTTTGCAGGTCCTCCTCTAGGGTTGTTCTGTCTTCTTCTCTGGTGATAATTTAAAAAATGTTGGTGTCATTCGCAAACAAGTATACTGTAGAGGAGACCAGATCTGGTAGGTCGTTTATAAATATAACGAAAAGTAGCGGGCCGATCACTGATCCCTGAGGGAATCCGGATGTTTCCTCACCCCATTCTGAAGCCTCCCCGTTTACAGTCACATGTTGTGTTCTCCCTGTTAAAAAAATCCTAATCCACAATAACATTTCATCCCCAATTCCATATGCTTTTAGTTTGTTGATTAGCCTTTTGTGAGGCACTGTGTCGAATGCCTTCTGATAGTCCATGTAGACACAGTCGACCTCCGCTCCTTGATTGATCGCTTCCGTCCATTCGTCTAGAACTTTAATAAGTTGAAGAGAGGTCGATCTTCTTGCCATGAACTCTTAACAATCTTTCCATAGTTTTACCGACTATTGATGTTAAGATCACTGGTCTGTAGTTCCCGGTTAGTGCTTTGTTGCCTTTCTTGAATATGGCGCTTATCCTAGCCGTCTTCCAGTCACACGGCACCTTACACGAATCCACTGATTGCTTATATATCAGGGAGATTGGTTTAACCAAATTAACTGCCAACTGTTGGAGGAATTTTGGGTGTAGGTTACCTAGTCCCGGTGATTTGTCCACTTTCAGGTTTTTTAAGACCTTTTCTACCGCCATTAATGTTATTTCGATTTTTTCCCAGTCATGTATTATCGTTCTCTTTTCTAATGTTGGTATGTTATGGTTATCCGGTTCTTTGTAAACACAGTTCCAAAATATTTACATAGAATGTCCGCTTTCTTTCTGTCACATGATGTTTTCTCTAATTTATCGTTGGATGGGTCCACACACAAGTCCCCTATTTCCTGTCTGGTCTTACTCTTTGCGTTGATGTATTGCCATACTTTCTTACGGTTCCTCTTTGATTCTCTCGATAAATTCTTTTCGAATTGTTTTCTTGCTTTCTTGGTAACTTTACTTACTTTATTCCTCACTTTGTTGTATTCTTTCTTAGTTCTTCTGATTTGGTTCTCAGAAACTTCCTGGCTAATGCATTTTTCCTTCTGATCTCCATGACTATTTCATTATCTAGTGGAATTTCCCTCTTTCGTTTGTTTGTCCCTTTCATGGAAAAATTGGCGCATGTTTCTTTTCAAGTTCAAGGAGTTTGTTGTGTAGTTTGTCCCAGTTAGTGTTTATGTCCTTAGCCGGATTTAAGTCACTTTCCCAATCAGTTCCATCTAGTTCATTCATTATAGCATTAAAGTTGCTTTCCTATAGCAAAACCGCTTCTTTTGAGTGGTTTGTAGGTTTGCTTGGCACACAAAGTTAAAAGTAATGACGCAGTGGCCACTTTTACCTAGTGGGCTCTTGTGTTCTATGTCACTGATATAATTCTCATTGTTGGTCAGTAGCAGATCAAGCATGTTTGGGTTGTCTGTCCCTCTCCATCTCGTAGGTTTTGTAGTTGCCTGGAATAAGTAGTTGTCCTGTATGCACTCACGCAGCTTGTAGTCCCCTGCTTGCTGTGTCCTGTATGCACTCACGCAGCTTGTAGTCCCCTGCTTGCTGGTTATCACTTTTTGTATTTAAAGTCTCCCAGTTAATATTTGGGTAGTTGTAGTCTCCCATCATTAGTAGATGTGTTGTGTTCATGGAAGTTGCTTCTGGTGTTAGTTTGTTCAAATTGTCATTGTTCTCCTGTGTTCCACCTTGTACACATATTCCCCCGACGCCTCCTCCGACTCGTTCAAACTTTTCGCCTGCTTGTAAAGGGTTTTTTCCTCCTCACGTTCAGTTTTTGTTAAATCATTTGCGGTTCTGATTCCTTCGTGGCTATCCGACTCCTTGATTTGATATTTTCTTGTTCTCGTTCCTTATTGGTAAGATAGTTGTTTATTCTAATGGTGGCGTATTTCTCCTCGTGTTTCAAATTCCTTATATTTTTAAAGAAGGCTTTCTTGTCATCAACAGATACAAAAGATACTAACAGCGGTCTAGCCTTAGGTGGTGTAGCTTTATCGTTGGTTTTCTCATATTTACCAAGTCGAATGACTTCTGTACCTTGCCCTCATATTGAAGCTTGCACGTTGCAAGCATGCTCTTAATTGTGACAATGTCTGCTTCCTTCCTGGCCGAACTGTCGTCTATCGTTTGCTCTTTAAACCCAAAAACAATGTTAGTTTCCCTCCCCTTCCTCTCATTTATCTCGGCGATAACATCGACATCCTGCTGCGGTGGTGTATCCGTGGTAGGCTTGGACTGCTGTGCCTGTTCCGGGCATTTCACTGTCCCTTTCGTCAATTCTCTTTCACAATACTCCTGACCTGGGATTCGTTGCACAAAGTTTCAATCCGACGTTCCAGAGATTTTTTTTTTCTTCGTAAACTTCCATGATCTCCGCACATTTCTGTTCGATCTGGAGTACAGCGTGAAGGTCTCTATCAACTGTAACTCTACATGGAGAGCAGAACCACATTGAGTCTGTGGATTCGGCGAGCACGGTGTATTCGTTTACGTTCTTGTCCAAACACTGGTTACTACAATAGTGATCCCGGCATTTCCGGCACTTGAAAGCTTTTCCGTTGTGTTCAGAGATTTTCTTGCACATCTTACATGTGACCCCATCCCATGTTAGAGAGAATGAACTCTCGGAAGGCTTTCCTTTGCTCCTAGATCTTGTTTGACGCGCCTCCTCGAGCTCGTCCGGTTGGTTTTTGTTGACATGGCGGTCGTGAGGGTCCCCGGCCTGTAGCGACATCCTGTAAACTTATTCCGATGTTCTGGTTCAATGTATGACTTAAACTTGATGTTTTTATCCCCGACCGTCCGTTGCCAACCGATGACGTCACTGATTTCAAGGTCATCAGTATTTATGTCAACAATATCAAGGTCGTCCGTATTTATTGTCAATAGTATCTAGTTTTTTCATAATTAATGTTAACAATATAAGGTTTTCTTTAATTGATGTCATCAATATCAAGGCCATCCGTAATTTATGTCTACAATATTAAGGTCATCAGTAAGTTAAGTCAACAATATCAAGGTCATCAATAATTTATGTCAACAATATTAAGGTCATTAGTAATTTATGTCAACAATATCAAGGCCATCAGTAATTTATGTCAACAATATCAAGGCCATCAGTAATTTATGTCAACAATATCAAGGTCATCAGTATTAAATGTCAATAAGATCTATTTCTTTCATAATTAATGTCAACAATATCAAGGCCATCAGTAATTTATGTCAACAATATCAAGGCCATCAGTAATTTATGTCAACAATATCAAGGCCATCAGTTATTTATGTCAACAATATCAAGGTCATCAGTATTAAATGTAAAAACAATCTAGTTCTTTCGTAATTAATGTCAACAATGTCAAGGTCATCAGTAAGTATATGTCAACAATATCAAGGTCATCAGTAATTTCTGTCAACAATATCAAGGTCATCAGTATTAAATGTAAAAACAATCTAGTTCTTCCGTAATTAATGTCAACAATATCAAGGTCATCAGTAAGTTTATGTCAACAATATTAAGGTCATCAGTATTAAATGTCAATAATATCTAGTTCTTTCATAATTAATGTCAACAATGTAAGGTTTTCTTTAATGTCAACAATATAAAGTTCATCAGTATTAAATGTAAAATCAATCTAGTTCTTTCGTAATTTATGTCAATTATATCAAGGCCATCAGTAATTTATGTCAACAATATCAAGGCCATCAGTAATTTATGTCAACAATATTAAGGTCATCAGTAATTTATGTTAACAATATTAAGGTCATCAGTGTTAAATGTCAATAATATCTAGTTATTTCGTAATTTATTTCAACAATATAAGGTTTTCTTTAATGTCAACAATATCAAGGTTTACAGTTATTAATATCAATAATATCAAGGTTTTCAGTTATTAATGTCAATAACATCAAGGTTTTCAGTAACTTGTGTCCACAATTTTGATTTTCAGTAACCAGTGCCTAGTATTGGCCACAATTTTAAGATTTCAGTAACTTTTATCAACAATACAAGGTTTTCTCTAATTGTATCAACAATATCAAGATTTTCTCTAATAACTTTCTCAATATCAAGGTTTTCAGTATCTGATGTCCACAACATTAAAGGTTTACCATAAAGTGTCTACAATTCCCAGATATCTATAATATCAAAGTGAGCAACAATGTTTCTGTTACATCAATCTACATACCGTACATATATACTTCCTAAATTGAATTTTCACAACTATATATACAAAACACAACTATATATATACAAAACAAACACTTCATATTTGTTATTGTTTTATCATTTTTATTTAATTCTTCTTCAATAAATGTTCAATAAATTTAAAGCAAATTATCACAAAATCTACAACATCTTACAAATAATAATGCAATACATTGGAGGAGAAATAAAAGATGGCAAGTGAGGATGCTGGGTACGAGAGGTCACAACTCTACATTGCTGTCACAATACACAGTATTGGGGAAACGAGGAAGGAGTTGAAACTCAATATTGTTAATATCAGTAGAGGTTTTACAGGGGAAATATTGCAGTGGTTTTATCATATCTATAGTGAAGTCGTCGCTACATCTCAGCTTCTCAGAACCGACCAATAAATTTCTGATGATTGAAAATTTATGTTTTTGTTTTAAGAATTTGTATATAAACAAAGTGGAAAGTAAGGTTGATATCACACTACATGTATTGCAAAGAAGTTTTTACTGTTTTTATGTGGAAGAAAAGGTCACAGAATATTATATCAGAGTCCGGTGTAGTTCATACATAGTATCATAGAATATTGCATAGAAATATGAAAGTGTGTTTACGTACACTACGTACCAGTCAGTGACCACAGTTCACTTCATTGATACTCTGGACATGTTGTTTCCAGAAACAAAAAACGTCTGTATGAAGCTGCACATTTTTGGCAACAGATTGGGATGTATGGTAAGAGAATGTTACACAGCTGAGCGTCACAAAGTAACATCATATAATACACAACATGTGGCTTAATGTGAAATAATACAAAATGGCCAACATGTGTTAAGCATGCATAAAAAATGCATGAAACACCTGCTTATCATGTGTAAAACACCTGATGAACTCATAAAACACTTGTTAAACTCATAAAACACTTGTTAAACACATAAAACACTTGTTAAACATATGAAAAACATGTGTGTAAAAACATGAGAAACACATGTAAAATGTCTGTGAACTTTGTGTAAAACATGTACATATGTAAAACACTTGTTAAACATGTCAAACTCCTATAAAACATGTGTAAAACAACTGATAAACGAGTTACAGGTATGTTTAAGTTTCTAGACAGACTGTTATAAACGACTAACATGTCCCTGAAAGTGAGTACAGCGTACGAGGAGTAACTGGCACTTCTACACGACGCCCGGACTGAACACATTGCTGTTTTAGGGCGATTCACACAACGCCAAGACTGAACAGTCACCACCAGTCTCTCGTCGGCGACACAAACAGAGGCTGAAGCACCATACATGTGACCAATAGTTACATCTGTTTTGAGTTATAAATTGACTTGTACCACATAAAATATTTGGTCAAAAACAGGTAAAATTTCAGGTAAATGTTTACATTAAATTCATATAATGGTAACTGTATTGATTAAAAAGGGAAAAAAACATTGAAAATCTACAAGACTATTATTTGCTTAATATTCAGATCATGTACTTTATAAAACACTGAACATAAATAAACAAATTATGTAAAGTTGAATCACAACAGCTGATGATAAAATAGCATAACACTCATATACTGCATTTAAAATAAAGTTTTCTTTTAACACACATTAACGTTAACACACAAGCTCTGCTGCAGAGATCTATATATATATACATCACCTAGCGCTATAACTTACACAATATATATCTATATATAGCTAACACTTCATGTACAACTCTCAAACCTTATGTTTTAAACCTATCAAAGGATTCATTGGAAAACAGGGTTAGACTGACCCAACACCCCTGTATATCCTCAATAGATCTTCCCATGGACTGATTGATCTATTGTGGTTTGTAGGGGTTGATATTCACACTGGGAGTGTACTTGATTACGAAAAATATTGTGTATGGAACACAATGAACACTTTTAAGTGTGATCAGAATACTGTAAGACAGGAGATTACCAAACATGACTCAATCTCTTTCCTTTGAATCACATATATCCCTTAAAAAGTCTTAATCAAATACACCTCATATTGAGGCGAGCATACCTACCAAAGGTCAAAGGTCTAGCTGGAAACTCCTTTCCAAGGTCAAGGGCCTAGCTGGACACCTCTACCTGAGGTCAAGGGCCTATCTTGCCTAGCTGGACACTTCTACCCAAGGTCAAGGGCCTAGCTGGACACCTATACCCGAGGTCAAGGGCCTAGCTGGACACTTCTACCTGAGGTCAAGGGCCTAGCTGGACACCTATACCCGAGGTCAAGAGCCTAGCTGGACACTTCTACCCAAAGTCAAGGGCCTAGTTGGAAAGATTTTCTTTCATTCTTAAACTTAAAAAATTATCACTTTTCTTCTGTAGCTCACAGTAGATCTACAAAACAGGGTATTGCATAGAAAAAGGTACTGGACGGAGATGAGAATGTTATTTGGGGACTAAACAGGGGTTCTCTTCTCACTCTAAGGTCGTGACCTTTAACATTGCATTTGTGACCTAGACCTTGTCATACATGACCATTCAACCCAGTATTGTATTTTATAAAAATAAGCTATGTATATTATGAGAATGTTTTTGTTGTACCCTCACTCCCCAATGCCACAGTGTAAGACTCCGTCTATGGTCAGACACGGGTCTGGCATACATGGACATGAAGGGTCGAAGGGACATGAATGTCCAATTATTTGTGATCAAAAATGTCAGTAAGCTAGCAAATAGTACCTATACAGTTTTCCTAGGTAGCTCACACAGGAAACATACAATAAGCGTCTTGTGTGGAGAACAACCTACATGTTAATATACCATTGTATTGCTAGGAACCAAGCATATGGTAATCATTAATTTGCATGACCTTGACCTGTACTTAGATCAAATTGATGAAATTTTAAAACAAATCAATATCATGTTATCTTCATTATTATCTTGAAAGTATTTGAGTAGTAAATAATGCATATAGTACATACAGTTGTTTATGAAATATATGTTGATAAAAGTTGTAAAATCTACTATACAAACCATTGCCCAACATGAGGCTATTATGGTTGACTGTACTACATACTAAAGTAAAAAACAAAGATTCAATCCAAGATGGCAGATTAGTGATAACAAAGTATGCATACTTCAACAATGTTAAAAAATGAAGTTTCTAAAATTATGTGACTCACAACGATATGAGAGTATATTTTGGCACAGTTGATAAGTAACATTGAATTCTATTTATAACTGGATATATCCTATTTCCAACTCTTTTTTTTTGTCTCCGTCAAGTACTAATATTCAAACCCAAATTTTCACCTAATTTCAACTTACTTAAATTACAACAGATTTTAAAAAGAATTCTCAAAATATTTAATAACAATGATCTTTTTTTGAAAATTCCAACAAAATCATCCAATTTCTTACCCTCAGACAAGAAAGAGTTCCAATACAATTACTATTTCATCAAAATCTATCTATATATATAAGAGTACTATTGTCAGTAGAAGATTGACACTAAATAAAACAGTGATTGCTTTTGTGAGGCTGTATACGTAAACACTACATCTACCTTTGAGTATTATAAATAAGCCTTCATTCCAGTCGTTCTCACACGCTACTGATTACAACCACTGACTGTGAACTTTGACACACAAAGATCACACTACGAGCTTAAACGTCATCTTGTTACGAGAATAGTAACCAATTTAAGCGTTTCACAGGTCTAAGTCATCACTTTAACGACCAAAATACTCCATCAGTTCCTTAGAGATTATCATGCCTATAGTTCCATGTAAACAGATTGTATTCTCCATTTTTAAAATTTGAAACCAAGATGGAGCCCGCTGTAGTGTAGAGTAGATTCCTGTTGGAGATGGATTGTTCCGTAGGATAGAGATTACTGTTCCGATGACTGTTTGACCTTGTTGGCCTCGTGATTGTGGAGTTTGCGGTAGAAGCTTTGTACGTAGGTAAACACACACTTCCAGTCTGGGTTCTTCATGCGTACCATGTCCTCCACATCCAGAAGGGGTGCAATATCTGCCAAATTCCTGTAAATTAAGGTTCGTATTACAGTTTTGCTGTTAACATGAACTCTGTCTGGATAAACAACTGTTAACATGAACTCTGTCTGGATAAACAAGGCAAAGTAAAACCTGCAATACATAAGTCCTCAACCTTCGGACAAACTACAGTATAACAAGACATAGTATTGCAAGGCAATCCATAGTCCCCCACCGGTAATGATTTCTATATTTAACAAACAGAACACTTATGTCAGGAAGCATAGGTCACAGTGAGGATATAGTGACCTACTTCTTGCACTCCACCATCCCAAGATGTACTTGTACACCAAATCTGGTTACTCCAAGTGAAATAGTACATATGCCCCCAACAAACATTTTTTAAAGTTTAGGTCAAAGGTCAAGTCATAGGTCACAGTGACCTTCTTCTGCACTCTGCCATCCCAAGATGTCCTTATACACCATGCAGGTGAAATACTATAGAAGATATATACCAGACAAACTTCTCGGACGGAAGGACCGACGGATTGCAAACCTATAGTCCAAGCCGCATTACACAATGGTGCATGAAAATGTAATTCTATTGGTATCATGTTGAAAGTTGTCTTACTGTAGCATATATGTGAGAAATGAAGTTTTTAATCAATTGATTATGTGAAATATTGCAGAATAGATTTTCAACACTTAAGCCGTTGACAGAGGTGTTAGTGAGTGTAATGAAAGACAACTATGGGTAGAGATTGCCAATCTAGAGCTTCTACTGTTAGAACAGATGGCAGAATAATTATCTGGTTCGTCACGTTAATTATAGAATGTGGTGAACCTATTTTCATTTAAAAAATTACTACTTTTTACCTTTTAATTGGTAATTCTTTTTTCCCCCCAGAATAAACATATTTTATACAGCTAAAACATGGTAAATACATGTATAACAACAAAATGACTATAAGTAACATAGCCACTACTAACTCTGCAGTGTCGAATGCCAAGTTGAAGTTGGCCCGTCTATTTTTGGGGTTGAGTTTGGTGATATCGAATGCATCTGGGTAGAAGTTGTGGATCAGAGCACAAAAAGCCATTCCATTGTTCCAACTGCTCGAGAAATTGGTCACCTCAATTCCCTAAAACACAAAATGTCATTTATAGTATTTTCATTATCTCACTATTTAATTCTTCAGAATATTTTGCATTTTCTCAAATTGTTTTTTTCATTTCAGACAATTATGTCTTATTACTATAAATGAATATGACTTCTATAAACTGTTACATCATATTAGGTTGGGCTATAAGCTATCATTTACAGCAAAAAGAACCTTGAAAGAGTTTTATCACATCACAAATTTTGGAATTGTTTTTCTCGCACCTCAGATAAAATTGACAATTTGCACTATAAATATACTGTTTTGTCATTATATGTATTGTTTTGATGATGTTAGATTCCAGATATTGCAGAAAAAATATGATCTACACAGTGAAATATGTTGTCATTTTTGCAAGGATGGAAGCATTCCAAAAATTCTTTAGTTGCGACTTTTTTTTCAAACTAAAAGGTGCGAGAAAAAATAAATTACCTGTAACTGAGCAAGATCGTGTTATCTCAGTCTCGGGCTAAGACTCTGTAACATCACAACCTTGGCTTTCGCCTCGGTTGGGGTTATGTTACAGAATCTTAGCCCTCCACTGAGATAACCGGATCTCGCTCAGTTACAGGTAATCCATCAATACTAAGGATACTGAGAATCTTTCACATTCCTATAAATGATGATTTTGTTAACTTTGAAATGATAATATACACAAAATTTAAAAGGAAAAATACATTTCTGTCATGATTAAACCATTTTCAATTGAATTATTCAAGAAATCAAATTTTTACTTATTTATGTGAATTAAACAATGCATAATAAAGATTAAATTACACATTACCAATTCTGAAAGAGAAAGTTATTGTTTCTATCTGCTAGGCTAGATCACTAGGTCCTCTATCTAAATAGGCTCATGCAATTTGTATGACAATTAACATTCAGCAATTTCAAAATATGAATTCCATTTCCCATGACAATTTTAATCCTCCAGGAAGTAATGTTTCAGTCACCCACTAAGTACTTCAACACAATAGGGGAGAAAGTGTCTTCAGAAAATCCTTTGAGAATTTACCATAAATTTGTTAAACTGTGGAATTATTTAGAGCCAATGTATGCTACAACTAAACAATAATACGAAAATCCATAAGTAAACCATCAGAATATTAAATCATATACATTGAAATACCTAGACCAATCTAGGTCACATCTAACCCAGAACATATTCATGTTATCAATAAACCGTTAAATATTGTAAGGATCATTGAATGGCTCGCCTTTGATGATTCCAGGGAAATAACCAGACAAAGGACAGGTTCCCTATGATCATACAACCTAATATTATCTCCCTTTGATAAACAATATGGACTTTTGGTAAAAAACTTGCCAATTCCTTCATATAGGATTTTTTTCTTTCTGATATAATAGATTTCATTCAACATTTCTGATTCAGTAGGTAACTATGAACTAGCTTCAGAACTACCTCCGTACAACAAGATATAGAATACATTGTAACTTAGGTAACCACAGGGTTTTCACTACACAAATCATACTAGTAACAAGTGTCAGTAACCCCCCCCCCCCCCCAATGCAAATCCCCAATCACCAAGTTATCAACATGGCAAACATTGCAACAAATAAATATTACAATTAATGCTTCAAATACTGTAAAAGTTCCACAACCTTAAAGAAATCAACAGATAGATCACAGAGTTTGAGAGCTAATTAAATCTAGCTTTCTAACCACCACACAAGAAAGAGTTCCACTTTAAGACCGGGATCATGTGTGCATGCAATCAAGTTTATATGATATATATCTCAGAAAACTGTTTTATCTATATTTCAACCCACAGGCAATTCACGCAGAAAGTATCCTTCATGCATTATGTGTTTATATATATATAAGCATCTGAGGTATATTTGATCAGGGGTCATATAAGATATAGATATAATTATATAAGTGGTATACACTGAAATCTTTTATAGGTGATTTATGATATAACAAAAGAACTTGTAGGGATCTATTGCCATTCAAAGTTCCAAAGCTCTCCAGGACTTTAGGGTAACATGCAGTACTGCCTTGCCCAGGATATATTCAGGCCACTCCACCTGTATACACTTGGTACCGTAGAGTAAGTTTTGTTGAGAACAATTTTACTTAGTATTATATAATTACACAAAAAACATCTGTACAATGGGATCTCTTAAGGTTTTCAATATTGTATGAATTCTTTATTTTTTTTATTTTTTTTATTATAAACATCAATTAATATCTTAGCTTAAACTTGCTTTAACTTCACATGCAGGATCCTACTTCAGCTTGTTATTCCAATCATTGTGAAATAGGTTTTTGTTTATAGAAGTGTTATGAGTCTTTAGAACAGATAGCACACACAAGATTCATTAGACAGACAGTGATGCACCGTTATGTTACATATTTTTGTCAATTCATTTAATAAGGTGAACAGGTGCAAACTAAAGAAGTTCTGATTAAAGATCAATACACCGCAGCCAAACCACATCCTGTGTCATTCCACTACAAAACATAACACCAGTTCCTGTTACAAGTAAAGCCATGCCTTTCAGCCACAAACCAGAAGATTATTACATCACGTCATCAGTCATGTGACAACATCACATTGTAAACAGATCATTAACCAAAGGTTTGACAATTTTTAATGTTTAGTAGAAATCAAAGTGTATACTTATGACATTTCTTTTTCAGGAAACAAAAGTCCTTTCTAATATATTGAAGTTATCCAAATTTGCTTTTGATAGAAAATTTGATGGATTATTCCTCTTTTAAAAAAACCTTCTTCTACTTCTAAAAATAGATCAGACAGATTTGTTCTCTGATGGATTTTCCTTATTTTAAATTAGATCTGATCAATTTTCTTCTAAAAAGCACAATAACCTGAACTGCTACCATACATTTTCCCTGATTTTAAACATTAAAACACATTTGAAAACTGTAAACCTGTGGAGAACTGATCAACTTTTACAGTGGATGAGGCTGTAGCGATTTCTGTCAGCAATGACACCATGCACCACTCCAACAGATGGCAGGGATACCTCGTAGTGGTTGATTTTAGACTTGCACCACTCCAACAACATAGTTTTGATGGCACTGGGACTACGTGTGACCTTGCTTCCGCCACCTCCCCCGCGACCTTGAGCCGCCATGAAGCTTGCGGGAGAAAACAGCAGTGTTCATGTGATAATAAGGTGAATAAATAATCATATGCATAACCAAGATGTGTCACCAGAGGTCCCCAACATCACTGCAATAACTGGCTATCAGGTTCAACAACAAAATGGTGACGATTGGCAACCAAATGTCTGTAACCGTTCGCTGTTTCAAGGTTGAACTAAGACCTTCCACTTTGATGTAATATATACCAAAATTATGTTCATTTCCAATATTTTATGCTCGTAGTATATTTCAAATATTTTATGCTTATAATGTAAGTGTTTTAAAGTTGTTTCACCTAAATGTTGAGGGAATAAGAATCAAAATTGTACTTCTGGCCCCACTTGTATAAAACATCTTAGCTCTTCCAAGTTTCCTCAAGTCTAAGATTTTTCTATAGACAATACATTGCTTGAGATTTCCTCAAGTCTAAGATTTCCTATAGAAAATACATTGCTTGAGATTTTCCTCCATTTTAGATGTTTTATACAAGCTCATTAGAATAGAAAAATAAATTTGTATGATATGAGAAGTTTTAATATTATCATGTGGAAAGGCTTGCTGAACCTCTAGATTTATAAACCATTACAGACTTGGTTGACAACACAAAGCATGCAATCTGGAACAGGAAATTTGAATACTGTGAAATAAAGAAATTGTTGGTAAATTAAGTTTCAGAAATATTGTGACTGCATATCTGTAAAAAAACAGAAATAACTTTAGTGAAATTTCTAAAGCTACATAGCAGGTTACAGTACCACAGAACGTACAAGGTGATGAATGAAGCACATGCATTTGGTGAAAGCTGATGGGAGACAGATGATACTGCTGGTGACTTGATGATTTGTTTATTTGTGTCTATAGAATTCTGCATTTTCCTGACAGCTAAAGTGTTCTTGTAAACTTATTTTACTTTATCAAATAAAAATCTGACTAAAATCCTTCTGACTTATAAGATGTCCTCTTAAAACACTTTGTTCAGTTCCAAATATGTATTTTGTCTTACTGTCAATTTAGTGTCTGCACTTAATATATGTTATATATTTTACAACTTATATTGATCACATTTGTTGGCCCTCGGATGGGAGCGGGCAGGGGGTGTAATTAATGTGAGAGGATATCAGGGTCCGGACAGAAACACCAGTGGTCAGACAGGTCACCTAAGATGTTTCACATCATATTTGATATTGGGACATAAAACCCCAGCCATCTTATGTAAGTCTGTCAATCATTCACCTTCCGGCCTGTCAATCATTAGGTGCCTTATTTCATCAAAAGTTTAGTGAAGATGTCATATAGCTTATAAGTTTTTATTTTCTATTTTTCAGTTTGATTTTAATCAGAAAAACATCTATAAATTATTTTTTCAAATTCATAACATTGCCTTAAGGAAAACAAATTGTGATACACAGTTTTAAGTGAACTATTTATTTATTTATTTTTTAAATATTTTCAACAGTAACAATTCCTTGTTGTTAATTATAGAGTAAAATATATATATATCTAGTGTAGAGGGTTACACTGTATAGTTTGTGCTTATGTATATATAGACTAGTTAGATAGTAAAGAATTAAGCTAATTTTAAGTGTATATTTATATGTTTTTACTAAGTTTAATAATGTTCTATAAAGATCGCACACATGTTAGCAGAAAGATTTAAGCAGTAAACACAAATGGGCTGAAAAAAATATGTGAGTGGAGACTAACTACATCAACAAAGATAATTTATCGACTAGTTATACCTCGTACGCTTCCGTGTTCTTTTTAACGAATGCAAGTATTTCCTGTTTGATCACAACAGCATTTCTGCGCATCGTTGTGGCAGCCTTCTTTGCATACGATATGGCCAATAAACCACTGATAGTTAAAAAAACACAACAACACATGTGTAATAGTCACAAGTAGTTAGGCTCCAGTGTTCAAAGTGTCCTCAAAGTCACTGTTTTAGTTGATAATGGATAAAGTGTACTAAGGTAGTCTTTTTCACAGACTTGACTTTTCACTCTGTATCTCCATACAACACATTAGTTATAATAACTGGAGGAAAAAGCTTTACATCACTAACATATTTGACTGATTGCACTTTGAACAACTGGCAGAATCAAATGAGAATAATGTTAGAAAAACACTTCAGGCATCAAAAAATTTAAAAATTATTTGATAAATTAAAAAGAAATTCACTAAAAAGCATTTGTTTAGGATTTGTTTTTGTTTTTTGTAAACTTATAAATTGAAATTCATTGTTTCAAACTCATATCAATTAAAGTGACAAAATATGGAAATAACTTTTAAAGAAATCTCACAATCTGTACAGTGTGTTACAGACCATGGCTGGGTTTAAAGCATGAACATTTCACTAGCTGGCATGCACACTACATTCATACTCTACACTATGATTTACTCAAATATCAATGACGATTAGCCAAAAGCAAAGGTACCAAATCACTTTCGGGTCAAGGGGAATTAACCACAGAGGCCACAGGTGATACGTCTAGGTTCCAGAGGGATAATACTCAAGGGTCAAGGGTGATTACTGTAAGGTCAGGAGTATCACTACAGGGTCAAAGGTGATAACTGCCGAGTCAATGGGTGAAGAGAGGCTACTCAAGGGTCAAGAGGACTATTCTAATCAAAGACGACAACTCTTTGGTCTAGGGGGATAACTCAAGTGTCAAAGGTGGTTGTTCTAGGATCAAGGATGATAACTCTAGGGTCAAGGAGGATTACTCTTGGGTCAAAAGGGTTACTCTAGGGTAAAGGGTGATAAAGTAAGGGAAAAGAATGGTAACTCTAAGGTGAGGCTGATAACTCTAGACTAAAGTGTGATTTCTCTAGGGTCAATGGAGTTAAACTCTTGAATCATGACGATTACTCTAGGGTAGAGGGTATTTTTATTATAACTCAAGTGTCAAGGATGGAAACTAGTCAGGCAGAAGAACACTTGCAGGTTAAGGGAGTTACTTTAGGGTTAAAGAGGAATACTAACTCTAGGGTCATGGGTGGTTACCCTGGAGTCAAGGGAGATTACCTTAGGGTCAAGGGGATTAATCTAGGGTCAAAAGGGAATCACACTAGCACCAAGGGGAGTTACTCTAGAGTCAAGGGGGATGACTCTAGAGTCAAGGGGATTACTCTAGCATTAACAGGGATTACTTTTGGGTCAAGGGAAATAAATATAGACATCCCGAAAAAGGTTTGTCCTCCCTATTCAGGAATTAAAGACTGAGGACATGTTTCTTTGGCCAAGTTATAATAAATCTTATTGCAACTCTGTAATCTCTAATGAACTCCAAACACATGCGGTAATGATAACAGGCTAGCAGCTAACTCTAGGGTCATGGGTGGTTACCCTGGAGTCAAGGGAGATTACCTTAGGGTCAAGGGGATTAATCTAGGGTCAAAAGGGAATCACACTAGCACCAAGGGGAGTTACTCTGGAGTCAAGGGGATTACTCTAGAGTCAAGGGGGATTACTCTAGCATTAACAGGGATTACTTTTGGGTCAAGGGAAATAAATACAGACATCCCGAAAAAGGTTTGTCCTCCCTATTCAGGAATTAAAGACTGAGGACATGTTTCTTTGGCCAAGTTATAATAAATCTTATTGCAACTCTGTAATCTCTAATGAACTCCACACACATGCGGTAATGATAACAGGCTAGCAGCTATGTCAATGATGTACTGTACATATCATATCAGTTGGTAAAACACATAAGTATTAACACAGAATCATTTGAATGTTTTTTCAGAAACAGGTTTCAAAATATACAGGATGGAAAATTTTGAACAAATATTGAAAGCACTTTTTTTTTCATTTCTTACATTATAAATGCAAAGATTTAAAAAGAGATCAATTCATTTTTCAACATCACACTTGTACATGATTTTCTTCCAGCTATGTTTTATAAAAAAAAATCAGCCAAAATTGAAGCACAAATAAATATGAATATATTTTCATGGACAAAAGTAATGAAACCCATTTCTAAATGCTAAAGTAACGACATTAACCTAAAATAAAACAAAGAATCAGTTCAATAGGAATATCAATCATGTTCATGGTAACATTGAAATAGATTCAACAAGGATATACAGTATACAATCACGGAAAGAATTATTACATTTCATTGACTTGAAACAAAATATCAAAATATCAGACAATTTATGATGACTGTTTTGTTTATACAATAAAATCGATTCTTGCTGGTTATTAGTCCCATTACTTTTTCTCTCTCAAAACTAACTTTTCAAAATTGATGAATTCTGCAACATCCCACATCACCTTATATATCATTAAAAGGAAGACGAAAATTGAATTCCCCAACATATGAAAAATAACCACAATGAATATTTAGCCTATTTATGACTGGCAGTAATGTCTGCAACAATGTCCCAGTACTTACTTTGGACGGCTACCACCAGGGGGAGCTGCAGCAGAATCCATTTTTTTAAATGCAGCCATTGCACCACCAGCTCCGGGTTTTGCTGAAAGGGTGAAGATAAAATCAAAATACTGTACACAAAAATGGTGATTCACTTGTCATTATTTATACATTTATATACACACACAAAACATATTATATTTGAAAAAATAAATAAATAGATAAATCATATCTTGCATGATTTCAAAATACATTGTATATATATTCTTTATTCCTTTCCAACATGCAGAAAATAAATCCAGACAGAATTTTGAAAATCCTTTAGAAAAAAACACAATCTTGATTTAGAAGATAGATAATTTCAAGATGTTTCTGAAATTAATATCCCCAACTAGCTGAGATACCTGAATTTCACACATAAAACTAATTAATTGACGCTCCTTACATTGCAGGAAAGAATGGGATGAGCCCTACTCCCAACTGTACATAGCGTGTAGTAAATACTGAGGCAGGCATTCACCTACAATCGTCTGCCAATACACCAAGGTATTCCTCAAATTGCTGTTACAAAGCGTGATTCATGTAACTACTTTTGGATACAAGATAATTTTCTATAAATTGATTCTATATATATTGTATGTATCGTGTGTACCTGATACTCAAACAAAATAGACTTTTTCCTCCTCCTAACACTAGAGAGTTCCTAACATTGCACACAGATGGTGTTTATTATTGAGGAACATTTTTGTTAACTTCTGGTAACAATCTCTTGAGCATGTTTGAAATAGCAGAAATATTTAATAGAAACGTTAGAGATTTATGGTAGCAGCTTCTTACTGCAAGTCATAAACACAATCAGAAGAAAGCTGGGTTAATAGCAAGACGGTCTAGTTTTTTTGGTGCAAAACCTTCAGCTTTATTTTTAAACTTGAGAAAAGTTGGACAGCTGCCAAAGGCTGATTCAATCTTAAAACAAAAATTGTAATACTACTTTCTAGTTTTTATGTTAAAACAGTAAATTCCCAGCAGCAAAACTCTCTCTGCCACAAAATCTAATTTAAAGTTTATGTGCTGCCAGGTTACTGATCAAACCACACCGTTCTAGTGTGAGTTACCTCCCTTACACCATTTTGTGAACTCTTACATTTCTCGAAGTACATATGTACAGGCAAAATAATATAAGTACATTTATCAACAACAATTTCATATCATCATTATCAAATCATGCAAATCAATATAAAGTGATACATGTATTAGTGTTAACATATACAAGTATTTGTGTCTGTATATTAGACAAATGAGTGTATATATCATAATGCAACTCTAGTCTACTGGTGACATGCAAGAAAAAACACTTATACTGAGGTTTACTTCAAAATGAAAGTACACATTTCTTGATAGAAATTAATATGTGTATTTATAAAGCTGGTATCACAATTTTCCATCTCTGTGTAAAAAGTATATATTAAATATATTGTCAAGCTTGGATGGAACTGAGCTTGAACCTTTTTTCCACAAATTAGTGTGTATAAAAGACATATCTGGGATTTGATGCTCTATCTTTTTAATTCAGAGCTAGTAGTGCAAACTAGCCCATTTTGGTTCAATATCAGGCCATCTAAAAATCAGCATTATTTCTTCAACCCCTTAACCAGGTGTATAATTAGTAACATACTGAGTTATATGTCTATACTGACTGACAGCATGCTGAGGTTATGGTAATACATTATATATATCAGTAAGTATTGCAGATTGAGAATCATTGTTAAATATTAGTAAGCGATGTACAGAGGGACTTGTTATAGTGTCAGAAGATAATGGGGACAGTATGACAGATGACGTGCAATGATCAGGAGAACCATAACAGCAAGGGCAGATAACTGTACTTCCATAGGTTATCATTATAATCAGGGTCAAGGACAGAAAATGATGTTTTGGAAATGAATTGACAAGAGTTTGATGATGCAGAGACAGAATTTTCATGGAGGAAATACAACGATTGACAGGGATAGAAATATGCTCATACCAAATATGTCACAGCAAATATATTAAGCTGTAGAAATAGGGAGAACGGAAGACATCAGGAGAAACATTAAAACTTATCAGAAAACGTATCAAACAGCAAGATAAAATGCTTGTGGAGAATTTGTTTAAGAAGATATGCTGTATCATGATGGGAAATATTTAAAACATTGCAAAGAAATGGTTCAGAAAGGGGAGATAATTTGTTAGTAGAAGGTGGGATGTTGATGGCCACCGTAAGCTAGTGTATACATGACAGGGAGCAAGGTGTTGATAGGAAAATCTACCTCCCCAAGCTTCAGATTTCTGGGACGTGTGTGTGACTCCGTCTCGACTGCTCCAGCTCTCGGTTTTCACCGATATTTTACCCTCAGTTCCGATGCAAGAAGCGTTTTTAAGTTGTTCTGTCAAAAATTTGGCAGCTTGTTCTAGACAGTGAATGGAATGAAATGAATGGATTTTCTATTAGAAACAAACGCCACTCAAAATGCATGGGAACACAACACATTAATGCTATAATGCAAGTATGTCCAAATGTTACTTTGTAAACAGTATTAGCAAATAAACACAAAAAACATTGTAAATATATATAAAAAAAAAATAACAAAAGTGTGAAACAAAAATGTGAACACAATATAGAAACAACAGAAAGAAATTATAATTTGGTATAAATTATAAAACATAATGTGATGTACGGGAAAACCACATCAAGGAAGTGCATGTACATAAATAAGTTAATCAGGAAAAACCAAAAACAATCAAATGAGGACACTATCTCTGTACAAACCTAGGCGACTATTTCTATACTATTGTAAACCTGTTGTTACCTCGGTATAGCGACTATTTCTATACTACTGTAAACCTGTTGTTACCTCGGTATAGCTATATTTACACATCATTAATGAACAAATTTCAGACTCAAGGATGTGTGACTTGCAAAGGTAAATTTGAAGTAGACATGGGATTTTTTTTCTTTCTCAAAACCACACCAAACTAGTGGAAAAACATTCTGTTATTTCAAAATATCAGTTTGGCAAAACAGTTTTGAGGTGGAAATCAAAAACTCTGAATGGGATGTTACAAAATGATTCCATTATATATAACAAATACACTTCAGCTACAAAGTGTATTTTTGTCAACTGTAATATTCATTGATGGATTATTTCTTTCTTGTCCAATTACAAGACCAGGTATATATAGTTACCCCTACCAGTATATGTCTGCAATATCTATATATAAATTGACTGTTGCATGTTATTCTAGTTAGATTTACTGTAGACATACTAAAAAACCACCAGAACTTTGTTTAAATCTCATCCGTGTGCAGCTACAGAAACAAATATCAAGGGAGATAACACGATTGTGTTGCCATGACATTTACAAGCCAGAATACAAAAAACACTTCCTTCATCTATTTACGTTTTCTACAAGATGTCTTACCACAGTAGGAGGTTTGTGATAAGAAGAAATATGGGGTAACGTTTACTGTGAGGATGGCAATATATCAAACTCATCCCCCATCATTGTTCACATTTTATTATACCTAGGCCAGTTTACACACAAAACCTGTAATCAGAAAGTTTTCCCATGGATGTCATTATGATAAAGAACATCTACAAACATCTACATTGGCAGTACACACCATTCCTAACCTTTTTTCCCCAGAAGAGCTCCAATTGTAATGCACAATTTCCTTCCTAATATATTAGCCTGTATCTTATTACAGTCAGTAGCATATATAAATGGTTCACTTTCACATCATCAACAGGAGTGATTGGTACAGGAGACAATCCACACATTTCTGGCACATTTTTGTGTAACCTTATTCATGCAATTTTATAGCCAGGTGGCTAATAGATTCAATAGCATTCAGCTTAGTTAATGGTAGCCATAGTAACCAAGACAGCATTAACAGAGATCCACCAATCTCCAGAAAATAGGCAGGAAAATTCAATTCATTTGGGATAAGGGTGGTGCCGTAGAAAGTATTCGGTAGATACATTGGAATTAAGCGTGCTTGATATCAACCATGCACTCCCTCTCCTTGTCAACACCTGTAACGAAGAATCTCATTGGCTGTGAAAAGAGAACCAATGAATGTAACGCTTACCTGCCGTGGGTTTAGCACCATAACCAACACCTCCGAACCCTGCAGTTGTTTCTGTTTTTTTAATAACTGTTGTTCTTGTTCCCCCTAGGAAGCAATGATAACGAAGGAAGCGATCAAGCATGGAGGCTAGAAGCTTGAAACAAAGCTATATAGCATATAGTTCTACCCATTCTACACAGTGAAATCTGGCTCAGTACCTGTACTATAGTTTTTCATATAAATATGGCGTTACCCCAAATACAGTGGCAATTTAGAAGGCAACCTAAAACCCAATATTGTAAATCTCTTGTTCTTTAAATAGACACAAACACGAACTTTCTCTATAGGTTCCCTGTCATTCCTGCCTTCTATCTTTTCTATCTACTTTGTGTTTCAGGCGATGTCTCCTTTGGCATCCATCCTTATATGACCATTGTTATTGCCAGGATGTTAAAGAATTTTCTTTTTAAAATTATAATCAGGCTGAAAGACTTTACAGACAATACTACTGAATCTTTATCAAACATATACTAAAAGCCAAAAACACAGGCTAACAAAGTTCCACGAACCCACATAAAAGGAATCATAACAGGGGACATTATTACTCCCATTAAAACTGTTGAAATTAAAAAATTACGATCACATAACTATCTCAGATACAAGTCATGTGAAGTAAGATTATAAATACTGGTCAAGAAGTTAAGTAGCAGTATTTAAGGCTGAAAGAAGAAATATGTAGATGGAAACCAAAAAAGGGCATAATTCTGATGAAAAAAGACTATATAAGATATGTGTATTTTCACAAAATTTTGACAAACACTGTATTCATACAAGATTATTGCTCCTCATTCGTACAACTGTGAAGCCGAGACCAGATTTCACTGAACACTAAAACCTCAATATTAACCCTGACACTTCTTTTCCCATGACAAACAAGTTCATGGATAAACAAAATCTTGTTTTCAAGTAAAAAGGTAATAATTTTCCCAAAAATGGTGTTCAGGTATCAAATTTTCCAGATAATAGAAGTGATTATTATTGAGGTTCAAGATATCTACACTTGAGTATATACAAATCTAAGTTTACACACAAATAAATACAAAACCACACAGAAATTATTTGAAAAATAATCTTAATATATATATATATACATTTTTGTCAATAAAAGAGAAATAAAAATGAAATTTCCCGATGAACATTTTGTCAATTTGACGTATATTTCAGCTTACTGTATTTTTGTTTTGAAAGGCGGTATCAGGCCTCAATTTTTTAAGGCCCTATTTGTTTTTTGTTTTTGTTTTTTTATAGAATAAAAGCATTCCTTAACTTTTTCTTTAACATTTATAAAGCTTTCCTTATTGCTTATGTAAATGAAAATAAACATTTAAGTCGAGTGTTTTGAGAAATGTATTTTTTCCAAAATTTGATTTCTGAATTGAACAAAATAGAGCACCTAGAAATGAATGATACAGATTTATAACACAGAAACAACAAATACAGGACACAACACAAGCACAATTATACCATAAGATAGGGAATATCAGGTTTACCAAATCTTAAGCAAAAACTCTTAAATAACTTTGAAATAAATACAATGTCAAGTCCAGTTTGCTTAATATGTTTTGGTATCAAGTGTAAATTCATCTCTGAAATACCTGATTTTATTCATCAGATCTTGTTTGGAGAATCGTGACAATTTTGTAATTATAACAAAATTAACAGTATGGGCTCGCAATAATGCCAATTACACGTTTATCCAAAGACTTACACTCTGATCCAAAGTATTTAATTTCAAGAGAAATATATTTATGGGTACAGAGGATATATACTAAATGTATTGGCAACAAAGTCGTGAGTAAGATCCTTATAATTATAATGGAAGGAAATATATGCTAAGTATAGAATACAAAGGTCAAAGTTGATATGGTAAGCAGAAAAGAGCACACACTGTATACAGCTATGGTTTATATGTATATAAGGACAGCTAAATACAGGTAAAGGTCAATGCATGGCTACTACCACCAAGCAGGCTGCTGACACCCACTACTACCACTCTGCAGCCTACAGTCTACATGGATCTGCAGACTGCCACTCCCCTTTACTGCCACACCCCTGTACTACCACACCCACTACTACCATTCCACAGACTGCTATGCCCACTCCTTTAACTGCCCCAGTCTACAAGAGACTGTCCATGGTTACCAGTTGTTGAGACCATTTCTCAAGGTCAAAAACAGCACTGTGATATATGAAAAGAAAAGCTATTACATTGTTTAACAAAGTACTCTTCCCAAAGACAACATACCTGGAACTGCCTCTGTTTTGTTGGTTGTTGTTGTGTGTGTTACCCCCTTTTTCGCAAGGTCGTCATACACGGCAAGTGTCCTGGCTTTGTCTTCGTCAGCACGCCGTATCTTCTCCTTCAAACTCTCCTCTGATGCCTGTAGCGTCTTGTTGTGTTGTTGCGATGATGTCTTTGCCATCTTGTCAAAGTCAGCCAATGTTTTAGCCTTCTGTTTGTCGGCCTGTTCATGTCTACGTTTAATAATGTCCTCATTGTCTTTCTCACGCTGGACTCTACGTTCTTCAATTTCCTCTGTGGTAGACAAAGTACAGTGAAATAAGATTTTGGAGGTGACAATATCTTCCCTCTTAGACAAAATAAGATAAGGTCTGACTAAACTTGGAACTTGAAAGCAAATGTTTTTATATAGTTTTAGCATCCAAAATGTTAAGTAACTTTTGACAATACTTATCATCAAGATCATGCTTTAGACAACTTCTACAAGAGGAACAAAGATCATTTTACTTATTTTTAATAAGATGCCTGTAGCATCACATTGCTGTACAGGTAAACAATATGCAATCGCTCACTCAGTCATAGCTTGACACTTGTTATAGTGCATTCCACATTAATGAGTTCATCAGGAAGCTAAAAATGTCATCCACAAATGATACTGGATCCTAACAATCCTATCCTCCACAAATGATACAGGATCCTAAAAATTCTGTCTTCCACAAATGATACAGGATCCTAACAATCCTGTCCTCCAAAAATGATACAGGATCCTAACAATCCTGTCCTCAACAAATGATACAGGATCCTAACAATCCTATCCTCCACAAATGATACAGGATCCTAAAAATTCTGTCTTCCACAACTGATACAGGATCCTAACAATCCTGTCCTCCAAAAATGATACAGGATCCTAACAATCCTGTCCTTACAAATGATACAGGGTCCTAACAATCCTATCCTCCACAAATGATACAGGATCCTAAAAATTCTGTCTTCCACAACTGATACAGGATCCTAACAATCCTGTCCTCCACAAATGATACAGGATCCTTAAAATCCTGTCCTCCACAAATGATACAGGATCCTAACAATCCTGTCCTTACAAATGATACAGGGTCCTAACAATCCTATCCTCCACAAATGATACAGGATCCTAACAATCCTATCCTCCACAAATGATACTGGATCCTAACAATCCTGTCCTTACAAATGATACAGGGTCCTAACAATCCTGTCCTAACAAATGATACAGGATCCTAACAATCCTGTCCTCCACAAATGATACAGGATCCTAACAATCCTGTCCTAATAAATGATACAGGATCCTAAAAAATCTGTCCTCCACAAATGATACAGGATCCTTAAAATCATGTCCTAACAAACGATACAGGATCCTAACAATCCTGTCCTTACAAATGATACAGGGTCCTAACAATCCTATCCTCCACAAATGATACAGGATCCTTACAATCCTATCTTCCACAAATGATACAGGATCCTAACAATCCTGTCCTCCACCAATGATACAGGATCCTAAAAATTCTGTCCTCCACAAATGATACAGGATCCAAACAATCCTGTCCTCCACAAATGATACAGGATCCTAACAATCCTGTCCTTACAAATGATACAGGGTCCTTACAATCCTGTCTTCCACAAATGATACAGGATCCTTAAAATTCTGTCCTCCACAAATGATAAAGGATCCTTAAAATCCTGTCCTCCACAAATGATACAGGATCCTAAAAAATCTGTACTCCAGAAATGATACAGGATCCTAACAATCCTGTCCTTCACAAATGATACAGAATCCTAAAAATTCTGTCCTCCACAAATGATACAGGATCCTAAAAATTCTGTCCTCCACAAATGATACAGGATCCTTAAAATCATGTCCTAACAAACGATACAGGATCCTAACGATCCACAACTACTTACTGCTTTGGATTTCTCGCAGCTCTCTCATCCTGGTACGGATTTTTTTCCTCTCCTCAAAGTTCTCTGTTTTGGAGAGCTGTGAACAGAAGACAGAAGTAAGGTAATCATGTGACCGTCTTTGATAGCTAATCATGTGACCGTCTGTAATAGGTAATCATGTGACTGTCTATAATAGGTAATCATGTGACCGTCTATAATAGGTAATCATGTGACCATCTATAATAGGTAAGCATGTGACCGTCTATAATAGGTAATCATGTGACCGTCTGTAATAGGTAATCATGTGACCATCTATAATAGGTAATCATGTGACCGTCTGTAATAGGTAATCATGTGACCGTCTATCATTATGTGACCTACACTGGCATGAGACAGCATATCTTTTATGTGAGTGGAGAACAACTTATACTCTAAAGACAATGCAGGGAATGCATGTCACCCTTGTTGATACAATATTATCTACAAGGGCGACAAGTATTCCCAAGTTTAAATTCCCAAATTATAGGTCTATTATACTTTTGCAACCAACTCATACAAGGGACTTGTACACCCTTACATATTACAATTGGAATCGTCCAGACCTTGATTTGGTAGGGTTCAAATGTGACTTTAGGGGTGCATGGGTTAAAGGTCCTTACTCCAGACAAGAATTGCTGAACACTACTTCAATGAAGATCACTCCAGTATTGACCTGAAGTCATTCCTTGATATTCTCACTCATAGGTAAGTTGTAAGTAATTAAGGGGGAACCGAAAGGTAGCAAAGGAGCAGAAAAAGGTTCTGCCTTCCTGTCTATTAGACCTAATAGACAGGGACACCTAATTTCTCAGTACAACCTCTCAGTACTGCTATAGTGATCAGATACCAGTCTGTTGTAATGAGAACTACTATATATGGTGTCTGTTTTGGTTAACTTTGAGGCTGTGTTAGGTACACATCCAGTGTTACAGTACTACAGGCCTACACCAGTGCACATGGCTACCACGGCCAATTATACTACTAGAACTGCTCACATTCCTGACCAAGGGTTAATCCTCATAGGCTATTTCTCCCATCCAGATCATTGGTGATTTGTCTGGGGAAGGGCCTCAGTATAGGAAGTCAACAGGCAGATCATTGGTGATTGGTGAAGGAAAAGCCACCAATACAGGAAGTCAACAGGCAGATCATTGGTGATTGGTGAGGGGAAGGTCACCAATACAGGAAGTCAACAGGCAGATCATTGGTGATTGGTGAAGGGAAGGCCACCAACCAATACAGGAAGTCAACAGGCAGATCATTAGTGATTTGTGAAGGAAAGGCCAGCAATACAGGAAGTCAACAGGCAGATCAATGGTGATTGGTGAAGGAAAGGCCACCAATACAGGATGATCATTTGCGATTTGTGTAGGACAGGCCACGAGTACAGGAAGTCAACACAAAGATCAGGGGTGATTTGTGGCCGTTTATATTGCTCATACAGATGATCTTATTAAAAAGCTTTTACTGGCTACCAGCTATCACCATGGAGATAAGACAGGGAAAAGTGATCTGCCTACATAATATTGCAGCTATCTCCTTATCTTACCTATAGGACCACATTCATGTCAAGGTCATTAGAAATCTGCTCAAGGTCAATTAGAAGAGGAGATTGTGTGTTAAGAAAATAAGGTCAAGAGCAAAATAAATCCCCTGAAGATTCTCTTTGACTTTCCCATGAACAGTAGACACAGCATTCCTGGGAATACCTATACATATATACTGTGGGCGCATTGTACACTGTTTGTTATTTTTATGTTTTTTCTTCCTCCAATTAGTATTATATAACAATGACAGTAAAAAGTGTTATGTAACAATGTAAAAAAACACATTACGCAACAACTACGTCCAGTCCGTGGATAGTGTATTTAACATCAGTGGTACGTAATTACCATTATACCTAATTACCAATGACAAAGATATGATAACCGTTAAGTGTTGAACCACTAAATAGTCACCTCATATACCCTCATGTCAACTGAAATCACAGTCAGGTATATGTTTTACATCAGAGCAACTAGAACATTTTTTTGGGGGGTTAAATTTTTTGTGACTGTATCCTGTAAAGATTTGTCAGTAGTAGTTCCACTCATTCCAAACCTAGGATGGTATTCTCCTGATCCACATACAAACATACATGTTCGGATTATGCTCAGGTGAGTATTTTTATATATATTAGACTTTCTTCTTCACAGGCTACAAATAACACCCTGGTATATTTTTAGACCTTAAATTCCACCACAAAGGTCCAGACTAATTAACCTATTGTAGAAAAGACATAACACACACAAAATATTTCTACACATACACTCATTCTACAAAAATTCCCCGGATTCCTGAGATGTTTTTTTTGAAACTTGACAATTAGTTTATTTAGACAAAGAACAGAAACCTGTTAAAACTGTTTATGTAGAGGAAACATAACTGATTAGGAGAACCAAACACTTCCCACAATAAAACTTTTAGCAATATATCCATTCACATGTCTCTGTAATTACTATTAATAGGCTGCTGTTGAGAATGGAATGTCGAACAAAAGGAATGTTAAAGTTAAACAACTCTTCAGTCTGTTGGTATATTTCAGCATCGTAATATAGTATAAGCCAATCATTAATCTAGTAAGTGATGTGTCACCTTAAATTATTTTATATATATTCAAATAAATCTTGTGCTACCCTCAGTAAAGTCATCTGATACAGATATTAGTATTTTTGCTAAACCTATCTAACTTTATATTGTTTGATGTGGTCACTATATATATATATATATGGTTGTCTTTTTGTCTGACAATGAGTTTGACCCTTTCACCACTATAGACCAAAATGGACTCATCTAAATTAATGCATGGTAGAGTTAACTAAAGTTACATAGGAGTGAAAGGGTTAAACTTATCTATCTTTAGATTGTTTGATGTGGTCACTATGGTTGTGTTTTTTCTGACAATGAGTTTGACACACAGACAGGCTAGGAAGTATAGTATAGTCTGACAATGAGTTTGACACACAGACAGGCTAGGAAGTATAGTATAGTCTGACAATGAGTTTGACACACAGACAGGCTAGGAAGTATAGTATAGTCTGACAATGAGTTTGACACACAGACAGGCTAGGAAGTATAGTATAGTCTGACAATGAGTTTGACACACAGACAGGCTAGGAAGTATAGTATAGTCTGACAATGAGTTTGACACACAGACAGGCTAGGAAGTATAGTATAGTCTGACAATGAGTTTGACACACAGACAGGCTAGGAAGTATAGTATAGTCTGACAATGAGTTTGACACACAGACAGGCTAGGAAGTATAGTATAGTCTGACAATGAGTTTGACACACAGACAGGCTAGGAAGTATAGTATAGTCTGACAATGAGTTTGACACACAGACAGGCTAGGAAGTATAGTATAGTCTGACAATGAGTTTGACACACAGACAGGCTAGGAAGTATAGTATAGTCTGACAATGAGTTTGACACACAGACAGGCTAGGAAGTATAGTATAGTCTGACAATGAGTTTGACACACAGACAGGCTAGGAAGTATAGTATAGTCTGACAATGAGTTTGACACACAGACAGGCTAGGAAGTATAGTATAGTCTGACAATGAGTTTGACACACAGACAGGCTAGGAAGTATACTATAGTCTGACAATGAGTTTGACACACAGACAGGCTAGGACCTATAGTCTGACAATGAGTTTGACACACAGACAGGCTAGGACCTATAGTCTGACAATGAGTTTGACACACAGACAGGCTAGGACCTATAGTCTGACAATGAGTTTGACACACAGACAGGCTAGGACCTATAGTCTGACAATGAGTTTGACACACAGACAGGCTAGGACCTATAGTCTGACAATGAGTTTGACACACAGACAGGCTAGGACCTATAGTCTGACAATGAGTTTGACACACAGACAGGCTAGGACCTATAGTCTGACAATGAGTTTGACACACAGACAGGCTAGGACCTATAGTCTGACAATGAGTTTGACACACAGACAGGCTAGGACCTATAGTCTGACAATGAGTTTGACACACAGACAGGCTAGGAAGTATACTCGTCTTCCTCAACAATTAATATTACCAATTACACAGGCGAGCTGGGGGATTAATACCACTAACTTTTAGTGTCACAACATCAACTTCCCCTTATCTCCTCTATAATAGCAGGCAGCAAAGTTATATTTCCTTTTGCTAAATTATAGAATTATGAATTTCCCCGTTTTCCTTGAGAAAAGCATGAACTCCAGGGAAGATTCTGGAATGGGAATTCCTAGCATCTGCCAGGATCTGGATTCAGGACGAAGAGAAGAGAGAAGGGAAGATGGATCGGGTGCGTGCCCTTTTTTTTTCATGTACTTGTTCCTATAATAAAATGGTTGACCGTCGAAGGCCACTCCCATACATAAGTGTTGAGTTTTATATGATAAATGCTTTATGTTCGGTTGAATGTAGTGAATTAGAATCATAAGTAGCTGAGGTAACAGTATACAATACTCCATTGGACTCTAACCCCTCATCACAAACACAAAGGAAAGAGAGCTCCTTAAAAGTGCAGGATCAAAGCAGACTGATTGGCCAAGGTAGTCCGATGGCACTAACTTAATGGGGACTGATCACGGGCAGCACACAAAGACAGAGGTTCACATTACTACCTCTACAAACATGACAGGACGGAGGAAAGAAACAAGGTCATACCTAACAATGTACTTTGGCTTAAAGAAGCATGAAAAGACTGTATGAGAGAGAAATAGATGGACCTAACATTTGCTAATTCTTTGTAGTACAAAATTATAGTGGAATACCATGCTATGCTGAGAAATGCTAATGCTTAAAAAAACTTTCACTACCAACAAACATGTCATACAAAGCAACTGTTCCACGTGCCATTCATTCCTCCTGCCCAACCATGAAATCTACTTTCCATGTAAACCATGACTACACTGGTGAATTTCTACAGTGAAAATCTTGGCTGATTCTTTTATCAGGGGTAGCTATCATCACTATGGCAACAAGACTGACTGTAATGTACCAACCCAGGCACCATCTAATAGCCAACAGACAGCAGAAAGATGGCCGACAGACAATTCCTTAGCTCTTTGATGTATAACAAACTAAAAATACCTCACAGAACCACAATAATGGCTAGGCCTATCTTATACCAGGTTGGTGTTGGCTGAAGGCAAATGGTTATACAGGGCAAACAAACTACAACCTTGAATGCTGATGAGTTTGGAACCAAGTCTGAACAGTTTCAGAACAACAGTATAATCTAACTGTATCGCCCCTGTATTTCCACAATGGAAAATGCTATCCTTTGATTTGGAGCAGTCCAAGTTAGTCATTAGGTGTCAATGGGTTAACATCAAACAACTGATAATATTGCACCTCTTAAACAATGACATTAATAAGGACCTGGTGAAGCATGATGGTGTAGATGTGATGTGTACAGCATTGATCTGATAGGTGATGTGTACAGCATTGATCTGATAGGTAATGTGTACAGCATTGATCTGATGGTAGACATCATTTTTCACTTAAAATTATTTGAAAAATATCTAATACCAAGTTTAATTGCAGATACTAAGGATGGCACCATATAATGACTAACAGACAGTAGATAGATGGCTGACAGATAATTCTAGCCTCTAAGTTTTTATAAAGAAGTGACCAGCTAATTATAAAGCATTCTACTAGCATGACTCTGAATCGGTTAATGACTGTATATATATATAGCAACCGTGACCTTGGACTTGACCTTTGAACCCTGATACACACCGATGTCCAAGGTATACTCATATGTGCATGACCTTTTCAGTTTGACGAAAAGCTATGAAAGAATGAAGTTGCTTAGTGTTTACATTGATTCAGGACAGGACGCAACGCGAAGGTAAGGGACTTGGCGGACATGGGAAACACAATGTGCCCCTTATTTTATAAAAGTCTGCTTTTTCTTTAACAATTACCGAGAATATACATAAAGAAAGGGGAGCCTGCAGTCTAATTTGAATGATTCACCATTTACTGGTACAAGTATACATATAATTGCACAGCTAACTAGGTCAGAGTGATCTTTCAGTGAAAAGTAAATGTTAAATTTGATGGATGAGGCAGACAGAATCTCTTGTTTGTTTATGTTGTCAGAGTATGTGAAATGAAGCCCTAGCATCCACTCCACACACATGTGTTACAGTGAGTGTCAGTACCCCTCTTCAGGGCACATTTCCACTCCACACAAGTGTGTTACTGTCAGTACCCCTCTTCAGGGCTCATTTCCACTCCACACAAGTGTGTTACTGTCAGCACCCCTCTTCAGGGCACATCTCCACTCCACACACGTGTGTTACTGTCAGTACCGGTACCCCTCTTCAGGGCACATCTCCACCCCACACAAGTGTGTTACTGTCAGTACAGGTACCCCTCTTCAGGGCACATCTCCACTCCACACACGTGTGTTACTGTCAGTACCGGTACCCCTCTTCAGGGCACATCTCCACCCCACACAAGTGTGTTACTGTCAGTACAGGTACCCCTCTTCAGGGCACATCTCCACCCCACACAAGTGTGTTACTGTCAGAACCCCTCTTCAGGGCACATCTCCACTCCACACAAGTGTGTTACTGTCAGTACAGGTACCCCTCTTCAGGGCACATCTCCACTCCACACAAGTGTGTTACTGTCAGTACCGGTACCCCTCTTAAGGGCACATCTCCACCCCACACAAGTGTGCTACTCTCAGAACCCCTCTTCAGGGCTCATCTCCACTCCACACACGTGTGTTACTGTCGGTACCGGTACCCCTCTTCAGGGCCCATCTCCACTCCACCCAAGTGTGTTACTGTCAGTACAGGTACCCCTCTTCGGGGCACATCTCCACTCCACACACGTGAGTTACTGTCAGTACCCCTCTTGAGGGGACATCTCCACTCCACACAAGCGTGTTACTGTCAGTACCGGTACCCCTCTTCAGGGCACATCTCCACCCCACACAAGTGTGTTACTGTCAGAACCCCTCTTCAGGGCACATCTCCACTCCACACACATGTGTTACTGTCAGTACCCCTCTTCAGGGCACATCTCCACTCCACCCACGTGTGTTACTGTCAGTACCGGTACTCCTCTTCAGGGCACATCTCCACTCCACACACGTGTGTTACTGTCAGAACCCCTCTTCAGGGCACATCTCTGTCAGAATAATTCAAACTTCACGAATGCAGTCCTATAAGGAACTACATCCTAATATATATTTTGTGGAATTAGGGTCAACATCTGGTGCAATAAGATTGCAATATTAAGTAATGTTTCAAAGCAGATATGGCATAGAACCTTAAGTGTTACATTCCAAATAAGGTCACAGTGACCTAAAGTGATGACTTCCTATCAAATCATGTTCCTACCTTGCAGATATTTTCATTCTTGACAATTATAACAAAAACATTTTTGAAATCACAAACATTTCTTGTTCAAACCTTTCCCTTAGAAATGTGAGTTTTCAAAGATCACCTATAAATATGTTTATCTGTGCATCCTTCAACACATCAAATAGCTATCAAACATTTTGATGACTGGGATGGTGTTATGAATCTAGGTTAATCAGGGCCTTGACTTCCGTCAAGCCTGATACACGTGATAAAAAGCTGGTATCGATCATTTACTGCCCAAATCAGTCTGCCAAAAACCAACAGCAAACAAGACAAACCCTTATTATTTCATTAACAATCTGATACAGCAAGTCAAATAGGAGATAAATATTGGTTTATGATTTGCACATAAAGACTTCGAATTAAAAAAAAACTAGCTCCTTTATCTGCTCAATGCTACCATCACCTATTTTTACTGAAATTTATTGACTTCATATGAATTGAAAAGTCAGATACATGTGTGGTATATTGTTTATAACTTAATGTTAAATGTAATTCATGGTAAACAGTTAAAGCACCTAAAACCTTATCCGATCTTTTCCCCAATACATTTCTTAAAGTATTTCAAAAATAGTACATGAAAATCAATAAAATTCCAAATGACAGACAGTACTGGTTCCGATTTCAAGAGATTCTACAGTTTCATGTAATGAATAAAATCTATGACTGAAAAAAAGGATATATGAATACTACTGATTTCAATGGTTTCAGTAGTTTGCCTATCAAAGACAGCATGGCTAGTGTGTAATAGAGAACGTCAGAATGCATGATGGGTCAGTGAGATAGTGGCCACAGTGGGCAGCCTGCTGACCTATACAGCAAGATTAAAGATATGTGGAGGAACTGTTGGTGTAAGTGATGCTGGTCTACACTCTATGGCCTCTTTATTATCAGTACCTGTTTACTTTGAAAGGTGCACAATTAATCAGGTGTAAACAACAACACTGGTATCCTTTACAAGGTTTCTTCCCTTCTGAACTCCTTATACGATATCTGATCCTGTACAATACATTGGAAGGCCTTTAAGGATAGCTGAACCGTTCATAACTCCTAGTACCATTTTGTATAACACAATTCCTAAACCCCTAGTACCATTTTCGACATGGAAGGTCCTGAGATAGGTGAACCTTATGCCATCATATAGGTGACAATAATGTCATAAACTTTCTAATTCTCGTGAATTTTCATTATTTTCAATTTGGACACCCCAGATATCTTGTTTACTTGTTTATCTTGAAGGCTGAATATGGCCAATTGGATTTGATTTCTACACATTTCTCTGATATCTGTTATCTTAAAGCCAAAATAACTTGTACGCTAATACAACTGTAGGAATCGAAATCCCATCTCCCTTATGATACAGATATATTTGAGAACATTTTGAGAGCTCTCAAATTCTCATCTGTCATTCTTTCCAAACCTCATTGTAAAAACAAAGATGTTTAGACACCTAGGTACATGCATTATTTGTTCAAATCCTGGCTACTCACATCACAATTGTAATTTCAGTTATCACAAATCAAATGAGATTAAATAATGGAGTTTGAATTCTTCATGTCCTTCAAACGTGTACTTACCATTTTGTGTAACTCATCCTCGTCGTCAATTGTTTCGTAGGAAGGCATGGTGGTGTTGTCTCCCTAAATAAAAAGGAAAACAATTGTAAACATTTTAACAACAAAGCTATATTTCCATTTTATGATTTGATATAAATGAAAAGTAATGATGTCAATAATCTTGTGATAAATTGACAGGGTGAGAATATTAAGGATCATCTCAATTTCTGAATATTTTTGTGTCGTTTACTTTTCTATTTATATTTACCTGATTCCAACACATGACCTTTTTGTGTTCATGATCTACTAATTGTCCTGATCTACTAATTGTCATGAAACTCAATTAATGAGCCTTCCTTGCTACGTAAACCAAGTTGTTTTTTTAACATCGATCCAGTTTTGTTTAGATGTTATGTTATGACTCAATTGCCATTATTTCTAGTAGCCTTGTTATGAGCCCCTCCTGTCAGTCCTGCATACACATGTATATATACGAGACTGAGTCTTACTGACTATCCTCAATCTGAGAAGACAATTACGATGAAGTGATTGTAATTACCTGATCCTCCACCATCCCCTCACCAAATTTGACTTCATTAATGTAGATATAAAGTGAAGAAATAACCATTGTTTTAGTGATTTTTGTAAAGGTTGCCAAGACTTAAATTCCTAGTCCAGGTAATCCCAAAAAAAGTGAGTAACACAAGGGCAGGGAAGGTCTGCACAAACAAAGCAGATGCTAAAATTTATTTTTGTCTCGTAAAAAATTAACCAAGGTTTTTACCAGACAATTTTGCATCTGGAAACTCAGCATTGTTCAAAAGTAAGGTGCTGCATATTAATGAAAGCATTGTTGACTTGAATGTTTCTTAAAAACTGATGAAAAAAACAATTGCTTCTTTTTTATTATAAGATACATTCTTGGTTATTTCACTTAATTTTTGAAGGAGATCATTCAAGATTTCAACAAATATTTTTTTGTCATTTTACAAAGACTTTTCTTTCCACATTTATTACACAATGTTGCTACCCATAGCTATAGAACATAAGAACTGCAACCCTCTTTAAGGGTGCCACCTGGTGGCCTAGCTACACCTCCCAGCCTTAAAGTACATAATGCTATTATTAGTCACGGAAAAAAATGTCCTTATTTAAGAATCCTCATTCCACTGCCAAAAAATGTAAAAAATGTATTGGAAACTGTTTTTTCTGGTATAATTATAGCTCGCATAAATCATTTCTGAAACCCCCCACCAACGATGATGAAATAAACAAAATATAATCAACAATAATAGTGTTTTGAATGCAAAAAATAAGCAGGGCTAGACCGGGATTCGAACCCAGGACCTCAGACTGTTTTACTATCGCTCTAACCGAGTGAGCAACCTAGTCAACAGAAGTGTCTGGGCCCAACTGTGCTACAGTTATATCACGGAAGTTAAGGGGAGGCTACTGTATATACGAAAAACTACAGTGCAGTGGGACAGGGACCCTTAAGGGTACAAACAGACTTTTTACAGTAGTAGTAATATTCTCAGGATTTTTTTGTCAAAATGAAAGATAAAATGAACAGGTTTTCTCAGTGAATCCACCAGTAAACAGCTGTCTTATTCCTTTTTTGTTATTGTTGTTAAAAAATTGACAAATATATTTCAAAGTAGTACTGGCTATACACATCAGAAAAAATAATCAGATTTATAAAACCAAATGCTGAAATGTTTTTCAATGCAAAATTAGAAACTCCACTATAACTATGAACTATGACGTCTATCAAACAAACAAAAAATTGTGTGTGAAAGCCAATATAGTCTACAAGGTCATCATGTAGGTTTCAAATCCTTCTGGTTTAGTCGGTAAAGATGGTGAATGGTTGATGAAAGAAGTCCGCCTCCCACAGATTACAGGGCCACAGTTATACACAGGGCCTTTCACTACACTCCAGAATAAATCTCTAGATGAGGATCATCTCTGGTGTTGTATTACTGATATCAAACGTTCCATGCCACAAGGCATCTATCATTATTCTATATAGTACAAAGTTAACATCAGGAAGGTGAGCTTTGTTGTGTAAGGAAACGTTTCATATTTTATTGCATCTTTATAGTTCACTTATTTCATCACTTAAACAGATGATTTGCTGCATCAAAATATAATTTTTCAATGAATTAATCTTTTGGCCAATTTATCAGAATTTTATACAGACAAAATAACATAAAGTTCTAAAATATCATCAAAAATATCAAAACTAACAAATTGACTGGTAATTTAATATCAGAAAAGTTTACAATTATGCACAATGAAACTTTCATATTTGTGAAAAGACAACATTTTCCAGGTATTGATGAGCATGTTTGGGCTATGTTAGGGTGGGCTATATGTTAGGTACTGATGTACTAGTTAGTAACCCTGGGCGTTGACCTCGGAACCATCTGCTCTTTTGAGACATGATATCCCTTAAAATTGGTTGAAAAGTTCAACAAACAGTTCGGAAAGATATAAAACCTATGAAGCTTTGACCTTGACCTTGGCCTTTCATTTGAAACTACGGCAACATGAACACATAAACAAGTTTCCTATCTGGGCACTGCCAACTCACGCAGAACCAGACAGGAGTTTAACATCATGATGGACGCACATTAAAAAAATTCAGATATTGAAGAATGCACATGAATCATATTTTTGATACATCAAAGTCTTTTGAAACATTGTAAGAATTCAAGAAGGTTTATTTTGTAGATAACAGCCCTGGATGGAACACATACAAATTTGTGATATTCCGGCAAAGAACCCTTAACAATGAAACAGCTTTGTGATGTAATCAAAACCCGAATCTTGATACCACAGGATGATAATCAAAACCCCGAACCTTGATACCACGGGATGATCATCAAAACCCCGAACCTTGATACCACAGGATGATAATCAAAACCCCAAACCTTGATACCACAGGATGATAATCAAAATTCTTTTAGATACTTCATGTATTTTTGAGAGCAAAAGAATATTAACCTTACACTGAAAATAAAACTTGTAAATTATTATCTAGGACTTATACATGGACAAGTATACATATAATCCTTGTTTTATTGATTATCTAGGACTAATACATGGACAAGTATACATATAATCCTTGTTTTATTGCCTTTTGTATATTAGTTTTATATTCTAACACATGAAGGACAGCAGTGGTATGATCTGGTATGTGTGTGACAGCAGTGGTATGATCTGATATGTGTGTGACAGCAGTGGTATGATCTGATATGTGTGTGTGACAGCAGTGGGATGATCTGATATGTGTGTGTGACAGCAGTGGTATGATCTGCTATGTGTGTGTGTGACAGTCGTGGTATGATCTGCTATGTGTGTGTGTGACAGCAGTGGTATGATCTGCTGTGTGTGTGTGACAGCAGTGGTATGATCTGCTGTGTGTGTGTGACAGCAGTTGTATGTTCTATCTGATATTGAACAGCAGTTATAAATCTTAACGTTAAACATAAGGTTGTGTGACCAACTTTCATGGATATTTTGAAATGCAAAAGTGAATCCACTTTCTACCATGTATGTTAGAAAGCTTACCAACACTAGAAGAAAGTATAGCCAAGTTAAGTCATTTATTTGTAGATTCATTGTCTGAACATATGGCCAATGTGCAGTGAAGTCAACAACTCTTACCTGGCACAAATGGGGATTGCTCTTTGACAACCTTGGACCACCCCAAGAATGCTTGTCAGGTCCAAATTACATCTTATTGTTAAACGTATCGGTGAGTTTCCTATTGTCTTTGGCATCCTATTGTTAATGACATTCTGAGGTCAGATAAAGGTCCACACCAATACGACCTCTGTACACTAAGGAACTGGTTCAGTTCCAGTTGTCCTACCTGGGGTGATTGCACCATGCTGTTTATAAAATGTCCTAGTGATAGACGGGTCAGACAGATAGGTTTATCACTGGCAGACATCACTCACACTGCCAGTTTTCTGAGAGGATACTGAAACGTTACTTCATATCATCACATTATCAAATGGTTTGGTCTGGAAATCAAAACAGATCTTCTAGCTAGCTTAACTTTTATAGCTGTCTTATTTGGAACTAATGGTGGTTTTCTGGATTAAACTTGTAAAAAGTGTCTGCCTTTGACTGCAGTACACATTAACGAGTAAGCAAAATACCCATGAAGGCAATTATATATATAGTAAAACATTTTGTTTTCACTTCCTGTCCACAACAATAGAGATGTTTTTTGAACTCTCTGCCATAACTGTTAGATAAAATCTATAATTCTTATATATTTTTTTTTTTAGGTGTGAAGACAGAGAAATCTCGTCCAAAGGATAACATTTTTATGTTTAACAAGAGGCTTTGCCAAGACCTAAAATTCAAAAATCTTATCTAGATGTTGCATCTTGTCAACATCACACAGGAATGATAGTTCTTCTCCAACACAGTGAAAATAAGTTATAATGGTTAATCCAATCCAATGGGGCATGGAATGTATGACATAACTAATGACGCTACCGTGGTTACACAGCATCAATTGATGATGCAATCGTGACGTTATCAGAATAACAGCACATGTATGCTGCCTTTCCCTAGATAGCTTTCAGGACAGGTTTATCTTTTCTCTAGCAAAAACAGGAATGCATCTGTAAAGTGTGGGAAACAAATTTTCACCACTTCCACGTGTGGACTCTTTCCATTCCTATATACCTGTCTTCAGAAACCTAGCCAAAACTCTCTTAATTTCTGCACCTTTTGAAATTAAGGTTTAAACATGCAAATGACTACTTTTATTTTGTTAAACTAATATAATATACAAAAACACACTTATTTGATACACAACCAATACACTGCACCAAATACACAGTTCACCATGTTCAGACAACTGCGAGCCGCCCATTTCCTCAGTGCTAGGTGTAAACTAGCAGCAAGGTGTGGGGTGAGAGGACCCACACACGGCTGAGAGTGCTTGTATACACTGTATGTGACTAGTGGGATGGGGGATATACATCAGCAGCCGAATCAGAAGCCCTGATTATATCCCAAATCTCCCCGATCTTATTAAATGATAGTGCCCATTTCTC